ATATAATAATATTAATCATAATGATTCTTCTTCTTCTTCGAATATTAATGGTCCTGGTCTTAAAAATGATACGATGCATGAGGCGAGACGAAACAGAAACAGAAACTATGAAGTTTGTAGAGCTACAATCAGCTACAACTTACAGCGCCACTAGAATGAGATAGCATGATTTTTTCTCTCTCGCACAATTTCGACGAATAATGGCGAACTTCACGTGTCCAGACTCTTATTAGAGGGTCACTAATACATGCGAGTGAGGAGCGCGCCGGCCCTGAGCGCCATGTAGACAACAACGCTTATTCGTTAAATTTAACATGCTCTACTGCGAAAACTATTTGTCGGACGCAATTTCGTTAAAGGAAAAAGTTGTTTGTCTTAGAGCGTAAAGTATTACGTCTTGTATTCCGAGTGCGGGAATTTTGAATCACCCTGTATATAGTAAATACATGATTATATATTTTCTAAGCATTACGATATTTATTTCACGATTTTATGAAACAAATATTAAATGAAAATGGTGTTGAATAACAATAACAAGTACAATAAAAAGAACAATTCAATTTTTTCCAGTTTATTAATGTAATTTCTATTTGCCATCTAGATGATATAAAACTATAAAGCTTTGACATTTATTTATCAATCGGTAACAATATTTTGTCTGGAATGTGTCGACATCATTCGTTATACTGTAGTTACGAGAAAACGACTGAAGCATATTACGCAATACAACAATGCACATATGTACATTATAACATATTATTATTTAATAATAAATAAAATAGAAATTAGATATAACAATATTTTTTAGCAAAATAATGCATATAATAATGAGTGAAAATTCCATTTAATCTTTAATTTTTTAAATAAAAAATCTTTTTATGACTCTGGTGTTCCTTAAAATATTTATATGTAATATTTTATACTTTCGCGATTGCATAATATTGTAAAAACAAAAAGTGAAACAAATCATTTATTTAAATGTTTTGGAATCAAATTAGGATATATTTTCTTAACTACATATTTGTATTATTCAAATTATGACACATCGTAAACGTAATTAGAAAGTCGGTTTGCATATCGAGAATACATTCTATTCAGTACCTGCACACACAACTTACATAATTAGAAACTATGTACTACGTCGCAGAAAAGGAAGTGATTATGAGAGACAAAATCAATTGTTGCTCATCGTTAATATTTATTAGATAGATACACTTCATATTGTATATTCATACATAGCGTTTAGTTTAGTTATCAATTTTGTCGCTAATCTTGTCGTGTGATTATATCCAGCTTTCTCTTAGGTGTCACCACCTCTATTCTGTTATCGTTAGAGGAAAAGTTATACGCATTATGTTACGATATGTAAAGATTTATATATTCAAACTAAATAAATTCACGATAATAATCTAACAGTTCATTCGACGATTAGTATTCTACCCCGCGTTTCTTGATGATTTTCCAAAATCGGGTAATTATTTATAATCTTACTCCACCGGATCCAGGACACTCCCCTTTGCTCTTCACAGTCAATTCTAAGATTGAAATATAACATGATTAACGTAATTAATTTAATTAATATACAAATATCAAATATTCCTCAAATCAATATAATTATTATCAAAATTCTAAATGATTAATGTGCGATTATCTTCCACATGCTTACTTGTGCCCATTTCGCAATTGTGAATATCCAGAGCGCACTGCGTGCCAAAAGATCTCGGTTTAAAGCTGGAGTCAAGAGGATCATGAGCGCAAATAGGATCATAATCAATTCCGCAATCTCGCGTGCAATCCTTCTTATTCTTCTTGGCTTCCTTGGCCGCCTTGATAGCGTCCTTTATGTCTTTCGACGCGGTCGCCGCGTCTTTGATATCTTTAAGTTCCTTTACATCCTTCATAGTGGTGTCGATTTTTGTCTCATCGGGAAAAGCGTACGTTTCCTCGCATAATGTAAACATGCTGAGGAATGCGAAGGCTAGGAAAGATCAAGAAAAGAGAGAGAGAGAGAGAGAGAGAGAAAAGGATATAAAATTAAAGATAATTCAATTTTCATCCAATATTTTCCATGTCTAATTAAACGTTTCCATAAATGACAGAATAGTTTTATTTAATTATTTAACCTGACATTATGAATTATCTTATAATAGAGAGAAGATGTTGATAATATCTTCTGATAATTATAAAAGATTATCACTGTAATAGAACTAAACGTAATTTTAAATAATTAATGCAATTTTCGAAAGCCTTTCTATTAGCAAAGTGTAGACGAGATGATATTACGTAAATCTGTTGATAATAGCTTAACCTCTCTATTGAGATGCTGCGCGGCCTTAATATGCGTCTCTATTGAATGATTGCGGCTTTATTAAAATCAAGGTTTATTTTAAATCGAGATCAGTCCGCTCCTTGCAGCGATTGTGACGTTTCGTCGCTCAAGGCCGTTTACGCCCACGCCCATTTAAAGACATTTCCTTTTGCTGAGAGACTTCTTCGATAATCTCAATTGCTCTCTCGCGTGAATTATAGTGGCGATTTTGACTCTTTTGTTACATAATAATTAATTAAAAGTGAAATGTAGTTATTTAATTTTACGATGTATTGTTGATTGAGGTCAGATCAAACTAGATTTTAAATTAACGCAATTTCAAGAAAAGTGATTACAAATTGCAATATTACCGATTTAACTTTTTCAAATTTTTATAGTTAATATATTTAACCTTTAAAATTTCTTATTTTATTGTTTCTGTTAAAAAGTTATATAAAAAAGATTTTAAAAAACTTCAACAAATATGCAATCAACTAGCAACAACGTAAACTATATATAATATATTAAATATTGTAATATTTTAATAATATGTTAAAAAATCTTTCTATAGTATTTTTTGAACATGTGCAAATAGATGACTAATTCAACCTATCAAAAATTGATGAAACTTTTAAATATTAATAATATTAGTAAATATCAATTTAAAATTGTTTCACATATTAGAATTTATTTAGCAAAAGATATATTTATTGTTAGTTGATTACAAAAATGATCGATATTGGCACTATAAAATCTTACATAAAGTCATATTGCAGTATCCGTACCAACTATAACTGCTACTTCCATTGTTTTGCTCAACAATCCGGTTGAAAATCGATGAAAATCAGCAGTTTCTAGACACAGCGAATAATGGCTATCACGAGAGAACTGACATATCGTGTCACCATACTACGTTTATAAACCGAATGTAATGGTTAAATCTATCCCCACCTGAGAGAGGTTGAGAGTATAGGACGTATCATGCCTGATTAATCTTACTTTATATATGGCACCTCATTTTCCTATATCCGATATGTTCGCTAAAGAAACGCAGATTACAATTAAGTAATACCTATATAAAATATAGAGAGTGTACTCTCTAATTAATTTCTAATAATTTAATTATATAGTACATAATATATTTTTACAAATATTAAAATTGCTGATCATCACTTTGCAATTTTAATTTAATGCAATTGAATAATTTACTTTTTACCTTATACATTTATTAGCTGCCAAATAAAAATAATTTTCTCTCATATCAATGAAATTATTAAACACTGCACATTTATATTATACAGATGTATCTTTATATTAGATACATATACAAGCTGAATAAGAGATAAATAATTTGTTAAAGTGAAGTTTTATTTTCCAGCGTACTTTGCTACTTGGCACACAATGGCACCGAATAATCATGATATCATAGTGCTGTAAAAGGAAAGATTATTCTTGTAATCTTCTCTAATCATATCGTTCCGACTGACGACGACTACGAAGTAGATTGACATAGCGCTCTATATTCATAGAAAATTTTAATGGATTCTTTTTTATAAAAATCTTCTAATTTATCTTTGCAATCAAAAGAATAAATACAGCATTTTGTAAATTGACGAAATAATTTTTATAAGTATAGATAAGTATACGTATAAATAAATAAAATTACAAAAGCAGGAAGAAATGACGCTGATGAAACTTGATGATAATGTACTTAAACCTCTCATTGTCCACTTTGTTCTGTGATGAGTTGCCTCTCTTCCTCTACATAACTCTTAAATAAATTTAAATAGTCTGGCCAAGATTCATGAAACGTAAATGCCTCGGTGATGCGACACGCAGACATCGTGCATTTCTTTGTAGAATTTGAACGAGCATTGTTTTGCATCTCGTACTTCTCAATGGAGCTTTTTACTATATCTTCGAGATTGTTTAGTGTTTCCATACTGGCATAAGCTAAAAAATGTGGAAATAGTGAAATACAATAAATATGTTAAGAAAATAATAGTTTTAATTAATAATATTTTTGTTTTAAGAACTTCATTTTAAATTCATTACAATTAAAGTTGGAAATTAGAAGATTTAATCTGAGAACTTACGCGCTGAAAACTTGCGTTCTTCGTCATCGTCTTTATTGGAAACTTTCTTCTTGATAATCTCAAGTTTAGGTATGAAAAGCAGCAAACAGATTACCGCAATAAATTTTACGATCATTTTAAAGATCACCAACTTCAATATAATTTTAGCGACAGTAAATGCATTTAATTTGAGAGCAAACGGCAATCCTAGATCAATACTTGGCAGAAGGGAAATGTGAGCTACATCCGAAAGCGCGTAGGGCGCACCATAAGCCGGGGATGGAATGGAAGTATGTATTGATGGACCTACGGAAACAAAGAGTGAAATACTAAGTCAAGTAATCAAACAGCTCTGAAAATATAATTTAAATTAATCCAAATCCTAATAAAATCTAAAATATTATAAAAGAAATAAATTTGCGAAAAAAATCAATTTTATAAATTAATGGGTATGGCTACCTTAGCGGGCATAAAAACAGCAATAAGTTTAAAAAATAATTTAATATAAAATCAAATTACGGCACTGGTTAATGCATAAATTAAAGTTCACTAAAAAATTTTTTGCATCCAAAATGGTGGCGTTATCGGTGATAGAAACTAGTACGTTTTTTGGAGGAGCGGCAGGACATCTATAGCATCCACAAATTTTGACCTAGAGCAACAAAATAGATTATTTTTAAATGTACATTAAAATATCTAGAGAAGTACGTAGGGTTTTTTCGACAAATAAAAAACTTTTTATTTTATAAAGAGTTTTTCACAAAATTTTTTTTATTTTTTAGTAAAAAATGCAAGTGTGATTTCAAATGTTTGTTATTCTTGAAAATATCAATATTTTTACAAACCCTTACGTACTTCTCTAGATATTTTAATGTACATTTAAAAATAATCTATTTTGTTGCTCTAGGTCAAAATTTGTGAATGCTAGATGTCCTGTCCCTCCTCCAAAAAACGTACTATAGTTTGTATCACCGGTAGCGCCACCATTTTGGATGCAAAAAATCGATAAAATTTTTTAGTAAACTTCAATTTGATTTTATATTAAATTATTTTTTAAACTGAAAAAATTGTTTAACTTACTGCTGTCATTTTATGCCCGCTAGGGTGACTATATATCCCTTAAAGATAATTAAAAAATATATGTGTGTAACTTATTATATAAACGGATACTTGTGTATCTTAGCACTTGCGAGAAAAGCAATCATTGTTTGAATACTAACGGTCCTACAAATATTGTAATTTTAGAATCAACGTGCCTGAAAAATACGTTATTAACTACTTAAAACCGGAAGCATTGTGAAGAATATCACTACGTCGATCAGCCTACAGAGGTCTATATATACCTACATAGTTACGCTTGCTTTTCTCGCAAGTGCTAAGATACACAAGTATCCGTTTATATAGAACTTCTTTCTAATATCTCCCCAGGCGTCTAAGGTAAGTTTCCATTACAATTATCTTACTGATGAGTCTAGTAGTGGAAACCGGGACGAAACCCCAACTTGTGATATTCTTCGCAATCTTATTTTTCACAGAATTTGATTTGTTATTAATTTAATTTACATTAATTAATAACAAATCATTAAAATTTAATATATGTCTTTCAACATATTATTAAGATCCAATAAGATGCTATAAGCATCAAATATTGTTAGATTGCGTGTCAATTTAACTAGTGATATTACTACGGTAGTTGTTTAGAGTTGCGTTCGTAAAAAGTCTGAAAATATTTCGGCGCGCGATTAAAGGAAACTACATACGTGATAAATAAAATTCACACATTACTGTAGTAACTTAAATCTTGCTTGACCGTCATTCGGCCTTTATTTAACCATTGTTTGAATACTAACGGTCCTACAAATATTGTAATTATAAAATTAAACATTTGCAAATTTCGAGAAATTTTATAAATTCTTATTTAAATGACATAAAAATTAATAAATAATAATAATTATATTATTATATACATATACATATAGACAAATGTAATTAAATTTTTCTATTATAATGTAAATTTTATACCAAATTTTAATGTAATACTAAATTTATTATCATAATAATTACACAGGCCCACAAAAAAAAAAGTGGTGTGTTCTTTTGACCAACCCTACATATCCTTATGTATTTTTCGATGCTGAATCCGAATTTGAAGTCAAAATATGGGGTTCGTGGACTGTTTGAAGAGAAAAACGCAAAAAACCACGATTTTTGGGGTTTTTTTAAAGTTTTCTCGAGATTAAAAAAAAACAAAGGATGGTACGGCAAATTTGACTCCATATTTGGATTCTACGGATCAAAATACATGGAAAACCATATGGTAAATATTTTTTTTTGAAAAATTTCAACCCCTGGTACAGCCTTGAAAAGTCTCAAAACTCTCTGAAAAGCTGTAATTCGGCACAAACGTAGTAAAATAAGATCGTAACTTTATTTATACAAATTATAAGTGCTAAAAACACTATTCCGGAGGTTTTTGAGATCGCTGAAGATGAAGTCAAGGCCAAATTTACAACTTGGTTCCCCTATAAAACTTATCGTTTTTTTTAATTGCTCAGAAATGACCAATTCTGAGACTATATAAAATAAGATATGATCTATTTAACTTCAGCTTTGAGTTATATCTCAAGTTTACAACCCCCAAGCACACAACCCATAGCCCATAACCCCAAAGCTTACAAATCCCAAACCCACAACCTTAGACGTTTGGAATTGGTGAGTTTTAAACGATGTTGAAATGTGGCTTAGAGTTTTATGAGTTTGGTATTTTTAAGTGGATTTAGAATTTATAGAGTTATAGTTTGTCTGCTTGAGAGGGTTATAAAGAGTTTTTTTTTTCAATCTTAGATATTAGGGATTTCTAAGTTTGGGATTGGATGTGTTTTTGTCTGTTTCATTTTCTCTTTCATTAATCTCATTAGTTGAACTTTCATCTACGTGAAGTGCATTTTATTCTGTTGTAAAGCTGTCTCGAGACCTGTCATCTTGCACTTCTTCTAAAAATATCTTTTTTGGAAGTTCGATGCTTTTAGCAGGAAGATAAACATTTTTCTCTTACTATGTATATATACCTTTTTTTATGAAACATAAATACCGTTTTTGCTTTCTGGTTGTTTCTATGTAGTTAGTGTTGAAAACTTCAGTTAATATAAAATAAGGAACTAAATTTATAAAATGCTTAAATCCCAAACTTAGAAATTCCTAATATCTAAGATTGAAAAAAAAACTCTTTATAACCCTCTCAAGCAGACAAACTATAACTCTATAAATTCTAAATCCACTTAAAAATACCAAACCCATAAAACTCTAAGCCACATTTCAACATCGTTTCACCAATTCCAAACGTCTAAGGTTGTGGGTTTGCGATTTGTAGGCTTTGAGGTTATGGGCTATGGGTTGTGTGCTTGGGGGTTGTAAACTTGAGATATAATTCAAAGCTGAAGTTAAATAGATCATATCTTATTTTATATAGTCTCAGAATTGGTCATTTCTGAGCAATTAAAAAAAACGATAAGTTTTATAGGGGAACCAAGTTGTAAATTTGGCCTTGACTTCATCTTCAGCGATCTCAAAAACCTCCGGAATAGTGTTTTTAGCACTTATAATTTGTATAAATAAAGTTACGATCTTATTTTACTACGTTTGTGCCGAATTACAGCTTTTCAGAGAGTTTTGAGACTTTTCAAGGCTGTACCAGGGGTTGAAATTTTTCAAAAAAAAATATTTACCATATGGTTTTCCATGTATTTTGATCCGTAGAATCCAAATATGGAGTCAAATTTGCCGTACCACCCTTTGTTTTTTTTTAATCTCGAGAAAACTTTAAAAAAACCCCAAAAATCGTGGTTTTTTGCGTTTTTCTCTTCAAACAGTCCACGAACCCCATATTTTGACTTCAAATTCGGATTCAGCATCGAAAAATACATAAGGATATGTAGGGTTGGTCAAAAGAACACACCACTTTTTTTTTTTGTGGGCCTGTGTTATAATATAAACTTAAGTGAGAATCAAATTATCTAATTTTGGTGGCCAATAATATCTCTTGTCTCACCTTGTTGGGGTGGTAGATAGTTTCCGGGTAGTCCATACGAAGTAGTTTGAGGATGAAAAGGAAGACCATCATTTGAAGGTCCATATGAATTCGGCGGCGGGCCATAAGAATTCTGCGGTACGCTATAGCGATTACTGTAGTCCATCGATGACTTAAAAGATTGAGGATAAGAATCACTAGATGAAAGAGCGTTGAGTTCACCAAAAGTAATTCGCGGACTTTTCGACGCGTATGTCAAATCGGGCGAACCGTACTCTGTTTCCGGTTTGTAAATAGGCCCTTGCACGTACTCTCTTCTATTTGTCTTCGTCTTTGAGTCAGTCTGTATGATCCCTTCTCGCGAATCGTCGCTGTTACGTGAGTGCATTAGTGCTTGAAGGTAGCTGTCCCTTTTCCAAGCAGTCTTCGGACTTTTGCTGACCCAAGACTTGTGATTGTCAACATAAGAACTGCGAGGACCCGTATTTTTCGAGATGGTTCTTTGGGAAACGGCATGCTCTCCGGAAGACACTTGATTAATAATTGTAGGAGATACGAAAGGAACAATTTTTGTAGAAATAATATGATTGGAATCAATGACAATTGAGGGTTTGGTTGATAAAGGAGGACCGAGGACTAGTTCCTTCCCTAAAGTTATCGATGCCTCGGATTCTTTGGCCTCTATCTTCAAAGTCGATGCACCTGGTGTATCCTGATAATTCGAGGACACAGTTTCGTGGGATGAGACCAAGGTGAGAGAAAGCAGAAAAATTAGAATCCAATTGAATCGTTGCTTTTGTGCTTCATAAGACATTTTTATAATAAGAGTTGGAAAAATATCTACAATAAAAAACATCATATCATAAAATTAATTTCTATAAATTTTCGAATTTATTTATAGTATTTTTATATAACTACTATAAACATTTTCCTAATAGAAATAATACGTTTGACAACAACTCAATGATGATTCCATATGTTTTAATAATTTTAACAACAATACATTTTTTTTCACGTATAAGACTTTAATAAAATATTAAAGTAAATATTAAAAAATTTTAGAAGTTTTATATAATACTGATTCTTTTCATAAGTACTCTTTTTAAATAGATAACACGACAGTAAATAGACTTAGAGATTCTGAAAGCAACCCTGTGTGAATCGATTTTAATTAGAAAAATAAGAAGTGGACAAGTAGTACAAACAATAAGCAGCACGACATGAAACGCCTTCTAGATGAGCGCCTTCTAGAAGATTCCTCTTGAATACGAAGTACAAGCAAATGTCGCGCATACTAAACGTATAGCGGTCTTCGTCCCATTTTAGGGTAACCATTTCAACAATGACCTTAATTCACGCATATATGTATAAAAATAATAAAATAACTGTACTTTATAACTTTACAACAAACTTATTATATAATTTGACATTTCTATTATTACTTGTACTGCTATCTAAATTGCTCTCTAAATTTAATATTTTCATTTATAAAATAAGCTTACAGTCAAACTACAAAATAACAGCAAATTTATAAATATACAATAATACCTAACATTATTTAAATTATTAATTAATAGAAACAATTTAATAAAGCTTAATAAAATAATATCTAATATTGATAAATTAATTAATTTTTAGATAAAAGTAGCCGCAAATTTGATTAATTTATACATATATGTATAAGAAATAAATAAAACATTTTTTTAAATAATTGTATTTTATTGTGTCTATATTGTGCTTTTATATCCGCCATGTCGAATATATCAAAATCATTTTATTATTTCTTTATATAAGAAAACATATTTCAGTATAGTTTATGAACAAGATTAATCATACAGCTTTATATACAATTAAAAATTTATTTTTTATGTTTATTTATCAATTATAATTTTTATGTCACATTTTGTACCAATATGTTTACAATATCTACTAAAAAGAATAATAAACAGGACAAAGATCTATAAATGATGAATATACGTACGTTATTTTCTTAAGAATAATTTTCCACTTCCAATAGAAGATAATGCAGACTTGTAGTGCTCCTTAGTTGCACTCCAGGATTCTGATTTCTCTCTTTTCCATAAATCTGCGTACTTGCGAATTATCCATTCCTGCATCACAAAACACAAAAATTTATAAAACTGTTCTAACGAATGACGACCTCACGAAAAACATTCTTGCTAACTGGCACTCACGTCGATCAATGCTCGTGAATAAAAAGTTATCGTATTTGCTTCGTCTATATATGCCTTCGGAAGGAGCACGAAATTCACGTTATTGGGTTACTATTCCACCGTGCCCCTTCGATACTTCCAGCACAATCATCGATTGCTACCGTCTGCCGTGATATATGTCAAAATAGTTTTAAGTATTGTATTATTTCTTCATCTAAGAAAATATATTTCAATAATTTATGTTGCAGTATAAAAATTATAAATATAGTTAATAATTACTTATGTTATCAGATGTTAACAAACTATTCCTAATACTAAGCTAACTCTAATTATATATATTTAAAATAAAGTTCTAATATTATTAGTAGGAAGTACTAAAAATAAATAAGAAATAAAAAGTGTATTTCTTTTTAGAATAATTTTGTAGAAAAAGAAGAAAATATGAAATTGTTAAAATTACTTTTGATAAACACTCCTTCCCCTCCCCCAATAATTTATGTTGCAGTATAAAAATTATAAATATAGTTAATAATTACTTATGTTATCAGATGTTAACAAACTATTCCTAATACTAAGCTAACTCTAATTATATATATTTAAAATAAAGTTCTAATATTATTAGTAGGAAGTACTAAAAATAAATAAGAAATAAAAAGTGTATTTCTTTTTAGAATAATTTTGTAGAAAAAGAAGAAAATATGAAATTGTTAAAATTACTTTTGATAAACACTCCTTCCCCTCCCCCCTTCCATAAAGTGGTTCATAAAAGTATGACTGAAATGTTTTCCTGGCATTTATTATAAATTGTTAAAAGCTTTAAAATGACTATAGGAGGGATCGAAGATATGGGCCATTATTATGTGTTGTATGATGCAGTCTATAACGGTGTTGCTATTTTTCGAACCTCCCACAATACTTTGATCCAGTAGCACACTTTTAGTGGCATTCTTTCGGTGATTCTATTACCTTCCGGAGAGGTATGCAAAAGGTTGTGTCCGATGAAAGTCTTAACAATCAGGTACATATATTTAGCAATCAAACACGTACAAAAATACATAAAAACAATAAACATTTTTTTAATACTATATATATATCATTTTTTATTCTACAAATTATTTTTATTAATTAATTTTAATTTTAAATAATGCAAAATTTGTTTCGCATAAATTAAAATAAAAACTTATAATAGAGATAAATTTTATTGACAAAAAAATTTATTTGTATCAATTTTTGTCAGAATATATACAATTTAATTTTTTAAAGTATAAATGATAAAGTTTAGTTACATAAATATAGTATAAAATCTGTGGCTTATTGCGAATACGTTTGAAAGGATTGTATCAAACGCAGTCTCTATGGCCACCCCCAATCAATATGCTATCTAGGTCTCTCAGCAACCAAACACGCTTATACGTATGCAAGATTTTCTTTGCGTACGTAAGTTGCAGGTAGTAATAAGGTTTTAACAATTTTTTTTTTTATAATAAATTCCAAAAAAATGTTTTTAGTCATGGTTTTATAAATTGAGGATTTTATAGGAATAGTGCGAAATAAAAAAAATTTCCTAAATATTCCAACAAATTAGGAAATATAGCAAAATGAATTTTTCAACAATCGAAACAAGGTATGTTTTAAATAAATAAACGGTATGTATATCGAGCTAAAAGGATTTAATATTATTCTTAAATTTTAGAATATTGAGACCATAACGTGAACAACTAACTATAAAGTGTCATACGTTTTGAAACTCACAGATCCTTATTTAGCGATTCTTACAGATGTTGCGTCGTTGGATTGATAATATTCTTATGTGTGTGATAATGCGTTACAGACATGCTGATATAACAATCATAGTTTGGATTGATTTTCTTGTTCTCAATATGCGAGTATATTGTAAAGGCATGTGAGACAGGACCATCACTACAAGTTCGTCCGATCGAGTTGAACGTAGATGTTACAATCAGTCAAATATACGACACTTTATAGCTAGTTTTTCACGTTATGTTCTCAATTTGTTGTAAAATTTAAGAATAATATTAAACCCTTTTAGCTCGAGATATAGACCATTTATTTATTTAATTTGTATTGCAAAAAACGAGCGAAATTTATTAAGGTATGTTTTCTTTCTCCGAAATTGATGAGTGAAGTATTTTTTTTATAAATTTACATTGTTATATAGGTGGATGAAATTCGGAAAATCTCATGACTTCGTTTTTGTTGGGAAGGAAACCATTGCAACGGCTTCCGGCATTTATGTGAGTTTTTTGGATTTGAACACAAGAGAGAGACGAATTGAACGATTCGACAACAAAGAGAGAGGCGATGGTGCGTCATGTTTGGCTGGACATCCGGTATAGAAAACGTCCAATTATTTATAATATTTATTTACTTAAATTATTAAATATTTAAAAATACCTATTAAATACAATATTTTTTAATAAAATCAATTTTTTTAATTTTTTACTAGACAGTTTCCATGTTTTCCGTAGTCGAGAGAAAATATAATCCCAAAATATCAATATTCATGTATCCGACGCTACAAAGAATCTCCAGGTGCATACTGCCCGACAAAGTTAATGGTTATTTATCTTGTTCTTTCGCTGGTACAGAGTATCTCATAAGCCTGACGACCTTTCCCGATTTTCAATTGATCGTATGGCTCTGGAGAACCGGTAAACACGTCGCCATGCTTAACACAAAGATAGACAATCTTAATCAAGAAATTTCGTAAGTATTCTGTAACCTTCTACAATATATAATTTGAAACGTATTGAAAGCTAGCAGGTATTATGAATTTTTTAACATTTTCAAAACTAAAAAAATTATAAATTAACTTTGTCACAGCTGTTCACCGAATCCTCCACATTTAATATCGCAACTTGGAATCGATGATAATACTCTCTCGGTCTATCAGGTGCGTACGTGCTCCAAAATTGTAAGTATACATCAAGTAAACACACTAGTTCCTGAACACAGAATTGTGTCTTCATCCTGGACGCTGGAAGGAAACCTGTTTATCTCAGATGAATTTGGAAATGTATGGCTGGTGGCGATAGAAGCTAATAAGTTGTACTCGGTGGTAAAATCGAAAATATACGAACATCCAAAAAATAAGTCAATTGTTATCACTCATAAAAGCGGCGTAATAATTGTGAATCCCAATAGTGAAATTACGGTGCGTATTATTAAGTTTTCAATATATCTCTTTATAAAATTTAATATGGGCTAAAAATACATTGTTTTTATCTTTGCACAAAGTTAAGTTTGTTTTTTCATTATATAATATTATAAATTATAATAATCTCTAATTTTTATTTTCTAATATATTACAATTAACAATATTTTAGTTTTACAAGAAGACGTCTGCGGATTGGAATGTGGCATGGAAATTTATTTGGTCGATTTCGACTTTCTATTCTGTACAAGTAGGAAAACAACATTATTTTAAAGATAGGATTTTGCTTCATTCTAAAAATGGAGAAATTTTTGAAATTTGTACGCTGCATGACAACATTCCTCATATAGAAGTTATTTATGCGGACGAAATTGAATATAAAGCATTGTTTTCTATATATCAGCATACAGATCACGTCGCGGCGGTAGATCGGTTAGATCGTCTTTGCATTTTCGAGTTATTGAC